TGCTGGTTGATCCTGTCACCTGCGGTGCCAGTTGCTAGTGTACCTGCCACGCTGTGGCAGACTTGAGGTTGTACTCCGCCATGGTCCTGCCTGACACATTCTGTTAGTGACCCACTAGTGCTATTAGTTTGGTGTTGAACCAGTACCACTGGCTTGAGTGCGCACTGTTAGCCGTGCGCACTGGTCTGGGTTTTCCGATGTAGATTAGAGTGCTACTCTACTCTCTGATGCGCTCGCGCGCGTTACTTTGCATTGCTTTGAGGGGGTTCGACTTTGCAGGGTTGATTGGTCCGTGCACCCCACTGAAGTGGGGACCCCGCACGGACCCGTCGTAGTTCGAACCTGCGACCTTTAGGATGAGAGTCGGACTGAATAACCACTAGAGTAATACCTTGCTTGGATGAAAGTGTTTCGTCGAGGGTCGCCAGTCTCTAGTACCGTACACCGTGGTGGTTAGTTAAATCACAGTCGAAGACCTTGTGCTGCATATTACCAGCAGTACTTAGTACGAGTATTAACTGTCAGAGGTCGGATATAGGTCAACCGCATGGCAGAGCATGACACTTTTCAATGAGACTGAACCAAACATATACGATCTATCCCTATTGCGATGAAATGAAAAAATGTAATTACTCAGATTCGAACCTGGATCACTTAAGTGACAACCCGTCACACTATCCATTATACCAAACTTACTATATATACTAAAACTGTACGAGTCGCCAGCCGGAAGTTGAGTGCTGCTTGGTAGCACTGAGCATGGACTTACAGCCTACCCAGAGCCCAGAGGGCATTGTCCTTCTCACTAGTACACTACTGACCGCTGTGCCACCCAAGTCGCTGCCCTACTCCGAGTGCTGAACCTTATTCCGCAATATAATCTCACCGGGATTCGAACCTGGGTGTCTCGAGTGATAGCGCACGCCCTTAACCTGCCAGACTAGAAGGACTGTTGAAGAAGAAGTTGCTTGTGCAACATGGTTCACATGGAACCGATGAAAACTAAAACGTTAATAACTTTTTATTGAGCCTATAAATCCCAAATCCGGCTTCACAGCGATGTTCAGGAGATCGAGATCTGTCGATTGGTGAAGGAATTTGTGGGATTTATAGGCTAGATCGCGAAATCGGCTCCGCAGTTACACATTTTTGATGGGAGCTCCTAAAGGTAAAAAATAAACGCGCATATGGGGACCCCTCCCCCATGCGCG